GAACCTGCCTTCACCCTGAGTCAGCTGGGATAGGCTCCGCCCCCCATGACCCTGGTGAGGATGAAGGTGTAGAGATGATGGATGGATGGATGGATGGATGGATGGATGGATGGTAGAGTCACGACCTGCTCTGCTTCTGACAGCAGTCCTTCTAACCACCGTCCCTCTTCATGCCTAAACTGAACCTCCTTGTGCCTAAAACAACTAACCGTACCAATGAAGGCAACACGCACCAGCCAATCAGAGGCAGAGCAGAGGGGGCCTTTGCCAACCTAGGAAAACAGTCTTGCTGCACCCTGCTGGATGATACTAGAGGGGATGTAGAAGTGAGTATCCGTGATGCTGACAATACTCTGTACACCTGAGCTTAGCCTGCATTACAGCACTGGGTCTGACAGACCTCACACTGAACCAGGGCTGCCTCTTTATTGCCATCCTCTGTTCATCTGCACACTCCTTTGTTCTTGTGAATGAGTTCTTAGTCAGATGTGACTTTGTGTCTGTCTGTCAGCTGGCTGACTTCTTGTTTTCTCTCCTCCCAGGAATGGAAGGGATAGAGTGCTCCTTACCTCCGGATGGACGTCGTGTTCCTCTCAGTTTACTCTCGGAGGACAGTTTCAGGGAGTGCCAGGGTACCCTCACCCTAACGGACTACCTCATAGTCATCTTTTCTGGGATTTCAGTCTCCGTGGCAGCCATCATGGCCAGCTTCTTCCTTGCTTCCACAGTGCACTGCTTCCAGCGCCTGAGTAAAGGCAGCAAAGGAGATGAGGAGGAGGGGAATGACTGACGGGGAGGAAAAGGGAAAATGGATTATGTAAAACACAAGAGTTTCATACAGAGCCCTTGCTGAGAGATCATGTTGGACTGTGAGAGGAAGCTCAAAAACACATGAAAGCAAGGTTTAAAAGGCTGACATGAAGGAAGAAGTCATACCAAGGAGGCTTGTACCAATTCAAATCCAAGATCCCCACTGGGCTATCATGAGAGTGATGGAGTGGTTTGGAAACAAGAGACAGGTTTGGATGACTGTGATGAAGTCCAACAGGTGGAGATGTGTGTCATAGTGCTGGATGTAAAGGAGCAACAAGCGCTTAGAGCAAAATGTAAACCGTGTTTCCACCTCGTGTTAGCTATCAGGCAAAAAGTCCTGTAGAGGTCTGACAGGAGCTGAGCCAGGACTAGACTACAAGGTGGTTTAGCCTTTTGAGAGGACCACGGAGGACTTGGCAGCAGCTTGGCACTGGTCCTCTGGGCATGTCGACCTTTCCCTTCTCCAGACACAACTGTTCTTTGTCTGTGTAAAAATGACAATGACTTACTTTTTTATTTTGTTTATGAATGTAGAATGCAGAATGTAAATAAACAAACAGTCAAGCTATTACCTCCCTGGTAATGATCTTTTTTTGGGGGGTAGCGAGTTGCTCAGCACCTTGTAAAGCCAGGTTCAGTGTCAGATGAATTAGACCATTAAACAGTCTTCTGACATGTAGTAATCATGAGACACTGCTGTGACGAAGGTGTCCAGGTGTGTACATGTGATGAATTAGTGGGAGAGGTCCGACACAGTCCCACAGCTGTACACAGAACCGCATGGGAGACTGGTTCTACAACCATTCTAGGATATCTGTTGGAGTGGAAATGAAGCTTGTGCTTTATAAATGTGATGAAAACAATGTGGACTTCTGTCTTTGTGTGTGCATCAGGCCTCAGGACTGCTCCCACTGCACACTGTTGATGGAGAACCAGTGTTCCAGCCCACATGGACTGTTTTATCCAGACACTGGTGTGTACACAGTTTATAATGATAGCTAGCATAACTGAGTTGTCAGCCACACTGGGCTGTTCCCAGCAGACACTGCAGAACTTTAAGCTAACCCTTCCTCATAGTGCTGCCGGTAAATTCCTTTATCCGTGAACACGTGTCCCACATGTGATCCCGTGGTTTCCACTGGGTCTGGGTATGAGTTTCACACGGGAACATCCTTGGTATCCACATGTAATCCAAAGGGTTGCACATGTAATCCCATGCATTCCACATGGATATGTGTGTGCTTCTCACTCAGTCATGTTCCTCTGGGGCTCTTTCTGTGGCTCAGGTGGTGGAGCGGTTGTCCTCCAGTCAGAAGGTTGGCGGTTCGATCCACAGCTGAAGCGTCCTTGGGCAAGACCCTGAACCTGAAGCTGCTCCCAGCAGCTCTGTTGGTGTCTGAATGTGTGTGAATGAGAAACACACTGTGAAGAGCTTTGGATCAGAGTCTAAGTATATTTCTCTGTAATACCTGAGCCGTTGCACATTTCTACTCTTGTTAAACATTCTGTGATGATTCTTAGGGAACATCGGATCCACTGATGACTGTCCTGTAACGCTATTGGATCAAATGTTCTGAGCAGCTCGTCGGTCTTTCATAATAATGCATTGACAACACACAGAAAAAGAGACACTGACTCATCCTACAGGTTTGCTTCTGCTATCTCTACTGTCCATGCTTTGACCTTTTAAAGAGGTGGAATAACTTTGACTGGCTGTCGTGTGTCCATCGCAGCCAGAAGCTCCATCTAGAAGTGCCTTCATGATTACCATCCACCACATGCAGGCTTTATACAACATGTGTAGCATTACACATTAAAAATGTGATTGATGCAGCTGCAGCAGCGAACTGTCCAATGTGCTGCTGCTGCTGCCTTCGCTCTGGGTGCACAGACAAGGAGGACACTCTGCACATTCACCTGTCTTCAGAGCTCACCTGTCACACAAGGAAGTGGGTGTGGTCACGCACACATGTCTGAGAACAACGTAGCAAAGAATCGCTTTTCTATGGAAAACAAAACACAACAATTCCGACGCTATCTGCCTGTTAAATGGCCAAAGATACGCCAGCAGGCAGCAGCAGACCAGCTGGTCGGTTGTTATCCATCATGATCACTGCTGAACACGAAGCTTAATGTAGCAGAAAGGTGTAGCAAGGCTGTGGGATTGTCCAGACGGAGGTCCAGATACGAGGAGGGCTTGATGCTGGAAGGCTCATTAGTTGTTCATTATTGTTCATAGTTGTTATAATAACTAGTAGGGCTGGTCCCAGTAGAACTTTCTGCTCTCTGGATATTCAGGCCCAGTTAATGATGAATATCAGAACATTCGGTTCGGTTGGGGGCCACTTCCACCCCGGGGCAGCGCTCTGACGGGGTGGAAGTGTCCAGAACACACAGGCAGTACTTGGCTGCTGATGCTAGTTTAGTTAGCGCTCACACTTCTGTTTCCTCCATCGGTGGCGGCGGGGGAGTGGCAGATACGCTCCACCGTTACCATCCATGTTTACTTCCATAAACACTGAGCTACGTACTGTAGATGGAAATGGATCAGCGCAGCCTCACAGGCCGCTTTGAGGCGTCAGGGTTCCTTAAAGATTTTCTTATTTTTATTTAAAAAACCTTCAAAAGAGCAATAATTTAAGAGCAGCGTTACTGGTGTGATAGTCTCTCCTGTATGTGTGGTAGGCATGTAGAAGCTGTTAACCTGGACACGCTCCCAGAGGGTGTGTGTGTGTGTGTGTGTGTGTGTGTGTGTGTGTGTGTGTGTGTGTGTGTGTGCACTTACTTGAAAGCTAAATATGTAATCCCCCATTTCAAAGGGCTTTATGTGGATGAACGAGGATTATCAGGGTGTGAAATAAAAGGTGTGGGTGTCAAAGGATAACAGAAGAGATGTAATAAAGACATGTTGCTGTGAGATGTCGTGTTGTTACCTGCTTTGTTCTGACGGATTAAACTGCAGGACTGTCTGTTGTCCTGGTGAAGGAGAAGCAGCTCTGAACAGGTTGTTTTCTGACAAACAGAAAACACACAGATGCTAGAACATACTTTCCTTTTCATTCCCATTTTGTTTGAGTTTAGTTCCCTCGTTTAGAGCTTTGATGTCACTGGACCATGGACCACAAACATGTATTTCACATCATCATCTTCCCCTGAACTGTGGAGTCCAGAAGTCTACAGAACCGTTCAGTGAAACCAGCTGAGTCAGCACCAGACGTTTTGACATTTAGGTTTGTTTTTCAGGACAGACCTGAATTTATATTTAACGTATTCACCTGCAATAACCTCAATAACTCTTTACTTAAAAATGTTTGTTTCTAGACTATTGTCACTAATCTGTTCTCTGAAATATAAAATTCACAATTTCTAAAAAAATCAGCTGATCATAGACCCAGAGTGTGTTTTCACTTGATGCAGTGGACAGGAGGACCAGGGCTGCTCCGACAGCGCCGACGGGTTAAAAGCTGCACTCTTCTTTTCTTCATCCCTATAACTATAGTTTCTCATCTGACCTCATCAGTCAGAAGGCTGTCATGTGCTACGTCCCCTCCTAACAAGAGGAGAGCAACACGACAGCCAGAAGATACGCAGCAGTCACTGTGAGGTGGAGCTAAAGCTAGAGTCTCATTTTAACAGTGCTTCAACAAAAATGTGCAACAAAGGTTCACAGAAGAGGCTGGAGGATGTGACGAGGTGGTGGTGGTGGTGCCAAACAGCTGGAAAGAAGAAAACAAGACAAGACCTGAAGAACTCCTCTGATGTCACAAAACCAACCCAATCAAAAGACCAACTGACTTCTCTACAAATGGAGCTGTGAAGTGATAACCCCGGTGTGTCTAACAATGGTGGAGGGTTTCCTGAAGTCCCATCACCACACAAACATACTTCCAGGTTTACAGCAGACAAAGCAACATGCGGTGAAGATGGCGGCTCTGCTGATCCGACACTGGCCTGGTCTTAAGCTGCAACACACCACCCCTGATTGGCCAGCTCCACAGGTGGACGCCAGCTTCCAGGTGGATCCCAATCAGGTCATCAGCACCTGGGAATGAGACATAAAGGAGGGGGAAGGAGAGGCAGAACACACTGACACACCAGCAGCCCTCTGGCTCGGACCAGTACCACTGACATCCTACCAGAACACGGCCATGTGTGTCACACAACAGGATTTATTCATCCATCACAGAGAACTAAAAGGACCAAAGATGTCAATTTAAACATGTCGTTTTGTGCATCAGTGTCTGACCATCTTTGTCACTGCCTAACAGATGCTGAAATGTTCGTTTTGTTCTGCATCAGAGAAGTCAATCAGAACTACAGTACGGTAGAGTTAAACATGTCACCAATCAAACTGTCCAGCTTGTTGGACTTACCTCATCGGGTGTGAGCAGACAGGCTCATCAATACAGGCCATAGGAGTGCATGCAGCACCCGTCTCTCTCTCAGTCATCCAGCGGTGGTGCTGAGATGTTGGTGGACCACTGACGGACTGCTGAGATGTTGGTGGACCACTGACGGACTGCTGA